TGGCTCAGTCAGTAAAGTGCCTTGCAAGCACAGGAACCTGAGTTCAGACCCCCTCTAAAAGCCAAGGAAGGGAGGTCTAGGCAGGAACATCCCCCCAGCTCATTGACCCCCTAGTCTAGCCAATTGGTGAGCTCAAGGTTTACTGAGAATCTATCTTCTAAAATTCAAGGTGGAGTGTGATGGCGGAGACACCTGATGGGGACCTCTGGCCTGCAGAGCTGTATTCACAAGTTCACACACTCATACAAACACATACTCTACCTGTGGCCTGCCCACCGGAACAAACAAGTTTGAAGGAGTCTGATATTGGGGGCAACCCTGGAGTGAAGGTGGAGGCAGATAATCTCAGAAAAAAAAAAATGTTCTTATCGGGTCAGGGAAGGACTGAGCTAAGAGCTCTTGGTGAGTCTGGTGTGACGAGGAAGGGCTCCCAAAGCCCAGATGGGAGGCCAGGAGAATGAAGACAGAGTTCTATTTAGTCTAGTATACCTTTGTGAAATCTATTCGCTACAATGAAATGTTGCGGACACTACAAGTCCTAAGTGCCTACGACGGAACACTCAGATTATTGGAACAGTAGACATAAGTAAAAGCTTCAGTCGTGGGTGAGCCTCTTGCTCTTGAGGAAATGCAAGGGTGACTTTGTGACTGGGAAGTTTCTGGTTGAGAGACAAGGGTGTGTGGAGGTGTGTCGTCCACGCAGGGAGTTCAGGGGGGAAGCACGCCAACTTGTGTGTAAGGTGGGTGATGAATCCGGGTTGTAGATGGACAGCTAGGAGGAGGCTGGGATGCTGGGTCCTGGGCAGAGCGACACTGGAGGTATATGGCCCCAGACATGCTGCATGTGGACATTGGCTTCCCACCTGGCAGTTGTAGGGCGGGGCTTGAAAGGCAGGAGGGGAAGGTTCTCACAGATCTGAGCAGTGACAGCAAGAAGGGAGGGACAGGAGAATTGGGGTTGGTAGAAATGCCACCAGGAGAAGCCACAGGTGATAAGGACAATTAGCTGGAAGAAGGCTGGTGCAATGGGCTCTTTATTTGAAATAACATTGTAGCTGTGGTGTCCCCATCTTCCCTGGGAATTCTGAATAGGAATAGTGGAAAATAAGAGGAGTCTGGATCCCATGGCCATAGTGATTCTGTGAGGTCCCCTCCACACAGGCGAGAAGAGCAGTAACTCTTGTTGTCCTTCAGTAAGAGAGCCCAAGGTTTCTTTTCTCTTATATTTGTTAATATAAGAAGATGCTTTTGAGCCAATGTCCTTGCTTCATGCTCCCCTCCCACTCAGGCTTCCAGCCCTCCCCCCAGCTCCACCTCTCTTTGTCAAAGCCCATGCCTGTAAGTGAGGATGTTGCTCCCCAGAGGGCTAGCCTAAGCCAGTAAGTATACTCAGCTCTCTATGGAACATTCTAGAAACTTCTGGAAAGTTCTCGAGGTCATTCACTACAGCAGTAACTCTGATGACATTTCTAATTAGCCTCCCCTGATCTTACTTGCTTCTGCCTCTTGAGATAATTTCTCATCCCCTATCCTGTTTCTTGTCAGTATGATCCTGCCCAAAACACCAGCAGTCAGCCAGGCTCTGCAGCTGTACCACGACAAACAAAACACACATCCTTGCAGTGCTCTCACTGTAGTGGGGGAGAAAGAGGGCAAATGGAGAAAACACGTTGCGTTGCGTGTGTGATGGTCATGGATGGGTACACGGAAGTGGGGGGGGGATGGCTGGGTGGCAGGCTCGCTCTAATGCATGCCTTTGCATGCTAGAGGGCCCTCTGCTGGGATCTTTGGTGTGTGAGCTCACTGGGTGCTTAAGAGGAAAGGGTTTGCTGTTCTGCACAAATAAAGAAGGGGTTTCACTGTGTGGGTTGTGTTGTGTTTCGTCTGCTGCGAGATGGTAGCAGATACGGTTTGAATGTGAGATATCCTTCACGGGCTCTCACCTTAGGACACATGGTCCCAGCTGGTGGCTTGCTTTGAGAGTCTGTGGAATCTTTAGAAGGTACAGCCTCATGGGAGGGAGTGGCTCACTGGGACAGACCTGGAGGTTGACAAGCTGGCCCCACTTCCTGTCTCTGCTTCCTTCCCAGTGAGGTGTCCCAGCCCTACTCTGGTGCTCTCATAAAGCTCCCTGCTGCCATGCCTTTCCCACCACGATGGGTTATACCCCTTTAAAACACAAGCCAAAAGAAACCTTTCCTCAAGTTGCCCTCAGGGATAGGATGAAAAAGGCCATGTAGTCTCTGTGGTCTCCACTCCCATGCCCTCTGGGACTCCTCAGTAGGAGCCCAGAATTCCTTGTGGGTGGAC